CAGTGGTTCTCAGCCCTCGCAGCCTATCAGAATCCCTGGCGGGGTGTGGAGGAATGGAGGTGGGGAGGAATTTTAAAATATAGCAGTTCCTTGCCTATTCTGAAAGATTCTGATTTTATTGGTTTTTCATTATTAGAATGAGAGATTACAAATAAATCAGAAAAGTGAACTAGAATGGTCCATGTGGCAACTGATCAGACTGAGAGAAATCAGTGTGAACTCATGTTTGGCTTAGTCTAGGCACAGATGACTACTTGCAAAAATACTTATAGAATCACCCCCCACACACAGACGCAAACACACACATAAATATGTTTCTGTAAACATTTATATATATATAGGTTAGTACGTTCATCTGTATCTCCTTGCTCTGTGAACTGAAAGGACCTAGAGTCGATGTTATCCCAGTAGCAAGGAGCACACTTAAGGCCCAGATCTTGGTTTCTAATACCAATCTGTAATGAAAGGAACCAGAAATCCTTAGAAAAATGGCTGATTTGGGGAATAAGGAAGGTCATATATAAGATAGGCCTGGAGCATCTTACGGTGCCAGAAAGTGAGGAAGTGCACAAAAATAAAACACACAAAATCCCCACAATGTTGGGGTATGTTAGAGTGACACTCAAAGAACTCCTAGGGACCAAAGCTGAGAAAATCTGAGTAAGAAAAAGAAATATAGCAGTATTGGGTTATAACCTAAAGTATAAAATACATTTCTGTTAGTCTATACTGCATAGTAAGTGACTGAATAGATACATAAACAGGGAGAAGAGAGAAACGAGAGAACTCTCCCATGCAGAAGATTTCTGAATAAGTTATGTGTGTACTTTTCCCTCAAGGAGGTGGAACATAACTCTCCACTCCTTAAATGTGGGCTGTACACAGTGACTCCTTTCCAAAGATTATTTATGATATAGACATGGGGAAAAGAGTAACTTCATAGTGGAGAAACCTGACAGACAGCCAGGTGGTCAAGGGTATCATCAACAATGGTAAGTCTTGTGGACAGTGTGTACCCTTGACATAATAAGATGCAAATGGCACTTTACCACTGTGATCTTCTCCTAAAAAACCATTAACTCCAGACTAATCATGAGAAAAATCCCAGTTGTGGACATTCTACAAAATACCTCACTAATACTCCTTGAACTGGTCATCAAAAACAAGGGCAATCTGAGAAACTGTCACAGTCCAGAGGAGCCTAATAAGACATGGCAGCTAAATGTAATGCAGTACCCAGATGGAATCCTGGGACGGAGCAAGGAATATAGGCAAACAAATAAGGAAATTTGAATAAAGTATGAGATTTAGTTAATGACATGTTACTATTAAACATATCAGTATGAGTTCATTTATTGTGGCAAATGTACCAAAATAATTTAAGATGTTAATAGGGGAAAGTGGGTGTGGAGTGTATGGGAAATCTCTGTGCCATGTGCTTAATTTTTCTAAAAAAACAAACAAATGACTAAAAGCCTTCTAAGATAAAAAAAGTTTACTTAAAAAATAAGTCTTTCATAGTATTTGGTCACCTCCACATTGTTCATCTTTAAAGCAACTAAATAGACTCTATGTTCTTTGAAGAGTCTTTCCTTCAGTATTATTTTAGCAGGCACTACAAGGTTGGCAACTCTTCTTGTTGAATTTATTGGGATGGCCTGACAATGTGTAATTTTTAAGTGTCATGTTTCTTTTATAAAATTGAGAAGGATTTAGAGCAAAAAAGAAGTATATTAAAAGTACTCATGATTACATGAAGTCTAAGAAGATCATCGTTAATGTTTTGGTAGTCTTCTAAGTAGTCCATATTTTCCACTGTAAAGTTGGAATCATGCACAATGTACTATTTTGAAACTATTTTTATTAATGGTCTGTCACAAACTTTTTCCTATTCCATAAATAATCTTCTTAAAGCGTAAAATGAAAATTTTAATAGCTGGACAATGTTTAATTCCAGAGTTTGCTCAAGAACATGGGGAAGGAAGGAAAGAGGCAGGATAAAAGACAGGAAAGAATAGAAGCATTTCTAGACGGTAACAGTGGTTATGGCATTGGACGTCAGGAGTGGTCGACTTGCTGGTATGGTGGGAGTTTGGCAGACAGAGAAAAAGCAGCTCCTCATCGCTCTTCCAAGTCTACCTCTATGCAGCCGAAAGGACCTAGAGAGATAATCTCACTGTCTTTCTTTTTCCACTGCAAATGAGGAGGAAGGATGGATATTGGCCAGCAAGAGGAGTAGCGTCTTCAGTGCTATATTATTTATTTGCCTCATTAGATGGATATTCCAAGGCTCAGAAGTTAGTTGGCAGGCATTTAATAGCTCTGCTGTGTTTTTGTAGAACTCTGGCTTTTTCAGTTCAAAACCACTTTCGTCCATGTGTTGAACAGCAGAGTGTTGTCAGGAAAGAACTAATTGAGAGAACGGTGGTTTCCCCGCCTGCCCTCAACATATATTAAAGCACTGGCGGCGTGTCGGCATTGATGCCATGTTGTAAATCCTTCATGTATTTCTGCCCTTCCCAAATCCCCCACCAAAAATTAATTAAACTCCACAGTGCCTAGGCTAATTCTTTCTCTACAGAACAAACTGCACTTGAGATATACTAAGGAATGTGGCCTAGATTTTTAGTTAGGGCAATGTGTATATTTCTTCCTTAACCAATTGTCTGGAAACAGAAAAAGAAATCAGATAAGCTTTATAAAAACCAGCTGCTGGGTTTTCAGTTCTGTGATATCCATTCCCCTTTTGGACATTTGGAAGCAAAATTGAAGGGAAAACTTTATCTGAGTGGGTTGCTGTGAGTGGAGGCTTATTTTTGGCTGGTATAACAAGGACATTTAGAAAACAATGAGTGTTTACATGAGGAGTGAGGGAGGCAGTCACGAAAGTGTGGGACCAGTGTAGATTTAGGGTTTTGAATAGAATGTGGGTGACTGCTGACATTTGAGAGGTTTTATCTGGGGTGGATTACAGATGTAGGAATTAAATATGTGGGCATTTAATTGGCATTTAATAATGCCAAGTTAACAACTGATTCAATTTGGTGGAAATAAATCCATCAGATGATCAGTCCTTTTGAGAAAGATACCGTAGGATCATGCTAATAAGTATTTCTGGAAGTTAGGGAATATATATGGCCACTGAAAACCAACTTTTCTGAAATATTATAACTTCAAAATTAAGGGTTTTGCTTTAGAGAAAATTTCAGAATCATGTGAGTCTATCTTAAACTCCATCCCAGGAAGGTTTGTAGGAGAAATAATTTGAAGCCCCTCTTAAAACTTATTTTAACTTGGAGAAATTGGATGGCACTAGGATATGTACTAGGCTGAAGGAATCAGAAGCTCTGGGTTCCAATCCACATTCTGTTAGTACCTTGCTATGCAAAGACAAACAAATATAGAATTGTAGGCAATTGCATGTGGTGAGTTCTGGTGATGTGAGATCAGAAAGTTTGGGTCCAAATCCTTCTCTGTCAGCTAGCTACATGACAATAAGCAGGTCAGAGAACCTTCCTGAACTTCAATTTCTTCCTCTATAAAATGAGGATACTGATACTAAATAGAAGCCTTAAAATCTCTACCACATCATCCTAGGAATGAGACAATGAAAGTGTAAGGGCCTGATGAATATAATTAAAACATGAAATGCTGACAAAGACCCCAAGTTGGTGTCGCTTTGTGGTTCTAATTATGATCAAGGAAGCTTTAAGACCTTGAAGTGAGTTGTTTTCCTTGTTCACACAAAGCTAGAATAATCCTGTCCCTAAAATGAAAGGAAAGGCTTTGTCTGTAGGCCTTTCCAGTGCTAGAGGAGGGCATAGAGATGATGGACTGCCAGCTGACCGGTGAGCTAGCCCTGGGCAGTCAGGGGCTCCTCACCCCCTCCCCCGTCCTTACAATGTATATTCTGCTCACCATTCCCACAGTGGGAGCTGTTCAAAGGTAAGGTGTTGTTGAGACCATCTGGACTGAATACATGACCGAACCCAGTTAAGGCCTCTGTGTCAACTTTCAAGGCTTGGCAGGTGGGTGCAGACATCCCCTTGTCTTGCAGCTGTCCCAGACAAAACTCACTGAAGTTCTCTTGCTTTGATTTGCCACTGCCGGTCTGGTGTGGTCTGCCTCTTTCTTCCATCTCTTCTTGCCCTCCACATGAGGGAGCCAGCCTGTGAGCCAGCAGCCCACCAGAGTGCCAAGAAACTGTCCAGAAAGGGAAGGGATTTCCAGGGAAGGAGGCCTGACTGGGCCGTTATTTGTGGTCACATAAAATGGATCTTGAATTGCAAGGTAGTACAATGAATAATGCCAGGGCCAGTATTTCAGTTGTCATAAGGGCAACCAAGGGGGACTCTTTGTCATAACTTTCTCTCCATGAAGAACCATGAGGTCCTTGTCAAGAAGGCAGCGTGGACTAGGCCAGACCCCACAGCCTTGACATAAAGGGGAGACCAAGGGTTCTCACTGGCAGGGCTCCCAGGATGTGGGTTCTAGCGACCCTTCCACTTGGGATTGTCATTTAAATCTTTTTAGTTTATACACTCTTGCCTTATATGCCCCACTACTAAAGTGTAAGCTCCTTGAAGATAGGCATGCAACAGCAAGAAAGCATGTAGCAAATGAGGATAAATTGATTTGGAGTTTGAAAAACTGAGTTCATATCTCATTTCCAAAGCTCATTAGCTGGAGGAGATAAAACAGGAAGTTCCTACATCCATGTAAGTCTTATTTTCTGCTTCTGAATAATGGGTCTTATTATAGTCTCTAATGGGATAATTTGGTTTTATTTAAATTTACTCAGTATTGACACTGAGTACTAGGATGTGCATGCTTAGTTCTCTGTATGGATTCAGTGATGAAGCCTCAGAACATAGAAAGGTACAATATAATTATGTCCATCTTGAAGATAGAATCATTTGCCGTTTTACAGAAACATTAGAATGCCTGAGACTCTGTCCTTGTTTGTTCTCTGTTCTTTTCTATTTAGACTTACTGCCTGGGTGATGTCATCTGGCCTTGTGGCACAATCTAGGTGCCAAGGACTTCTAACTTAATATATCAAGTCCAGATTACCGCCCTGAGCTTCAGACCCACATACCCAACACCCAGTCAGTGTGGAACAGGCATCTGAACAAAACGTAAGCCAAACTTCTGATCTCCCCCCAGATGTGCTTCTTTTCCACTTCAGTCTTATTGGTGTTTTACCCTGTCTTTCAGTTGCTAAGGCCACAAAACTTGGAGTTATCCTTAAATCCTCTCTTCAGCTGACTTCCCACATCCAACCCATGAAGAAATCCTTTCAGCTCTACCTCTGAAGACTAAGTCCGAGTGTCTCCCGCTGCCCCCTCGTCCACACCACCACATCTCCCACCTAGAGTTTCCAAGAGCCTCTTCACTGGTCTCCCTCCTTCAGACCGGAGAAGTGCTTTTGGAAGGTCAAGTTAGCTGATGTGTCTGCCCTGCTTTAGGCTCTCTGATGGCTGCCCTTGTCATCAGAGCAAAGTCAAGTCCCCACATGACCTGCAAGGACAGATACGGTCTGCGGCCTCCTCCTGGCCCATCTGGCCTCGTATCCTGTCAGCCTTGCCCTCCTTGATGCTTCCCTAGCCTTCCTGCAGCCTGGTTGCTTCCCAAGCCCACCAGCCCATTTCTTTCTTAGAACCTTTGTGCTGCTCGCTCCCTCCACCTGGGATTCTCTGTCATCACAGGTCCACATGGCTCCTCCCTCCCTTCTGCCAGGCTGGTCTCAGACATCCTCAGTGAGGCCTCTCCTGGCCCCTCTTTGAAGAGCCCTAACCCTAAAACACCCCTCACTCCATCCCTTACAATCCCCTGTCCCCATGTATCTTTTGCCCTAGCATGCATCATTGCCTAAAGGACTACACATTTCCTTCATCATCTGCCCCTCCCTCTAGAATGAGAACGCCGCAATGGCAAACACACCTTTTTTGTTCACAGCTGTGTCCCCTGTGTCTGGGACACTGCATGGCACTTAGGTGCTCACTACATGTTTTTGGAATCTTTGAAAAAAGAAACCAAACACCACAGAGATTAAGAAATTGCACACAAAAGGTCTAAAACAGGCAGTAGTATTGGCAATCTGAAACTTAAGTTCTCTCTGAGATGGGGAAATGTGGGATTCACACCTTTCTGGCTTTGGTCCTTATTTTTAAAAGCCCCTGATGTGCTGTTCTTGCCAAAAAGTGTTTTTTAGATCTGTCTTCAAGGGTGCCCAGTGAGGAAGACCTGCCGGGTGCCTGGCGTATAACTAGCTGGCAGTGCTAACTCCTGGAGTTCCATGGGTAACCCACATTCCTAGCCCTTGACATGGCCTGTCAGCTTCCACTGCCTTCGCTTCTAAATTTGTGTGATCTTAGCATAATTAGCCCGGTCTTTGTCATTCCACAACTGCTAAGTATGCAGTGGCTGTGTTGTGTTATGGCTCCTCTTGGAAGCAGATGACATATCATGAAATATTTATTTAAAAAAGAAGTGCAGGCTTTCTTAATTATTACCACTGACTGCTTTACCCTCAAAGTCCAGGAGAGGCAAGGCTGTGTACAGCAGACTGCTTGAATATGATAATTTCCTTTTGATCTTTAATTTTCCTCCTAGGCATTTGAGCACATTTTACGGCTTCTTTGAAAAGCTGCACTCAGCCTCTCTGGCTGCTTGTTTGTTTTCCCCAGTCTGCAGTGCCTTTTGTTCCATCATTTACATTTCTTAGGCAGCTTCAGATGAATAAATATTGCCCCAACTGCTCTAGCTTAAAAGAACTATTATTGCTCGTTAACTTTCTGTGCTAGAATTAGCTGGAAAATATGCACTGGGGTTGTTTCCTGGTTTTGTGTATTAATATTTTTAAAAATCGTTTCTTTCTCTGGGACTCTTGAAGTTTATTCTTGAGAATAGACAGATTTGGGGGACAGATTTTGAATAGACAGAGTAGTAACTTCAGGTCATTGTTGCAGAGGACCTCTTTGTCACTTTATGAGATCGCCCAGTTCTTGGGTGGGCAAGTAGAATTAGAATGTGAAGTGTGCACCAGCTTTTCACAAGCCCCCTGGAGCTTATAAGAGGAAACTGCAGTCATTAAAGCTGCTTGGTCTTGTTCTCATCCTGACCCCAAACCTCCCTCTGTCTTCTTCCTTTTTTCTTGTGAATACTAGACACATATTTAATGAGTTGTCACATGTGAGAAACCCCGGGGTCTCCCACTTCCATAGAATGGGACCAGCAGATAGAAAGGCTGTTGCGTGAGGATCATAAGCTCATTAGCTATGTGACCGCATTCAAAAAGGAACATGACATCTCTCAGGTGCCTTTTGCCCTTTCAACTATCTTGTACCTACCTGCCTTTTTTTTTTTTTTTTGAGAAGCCAAGGAAATTGGAATGGATAGAAACTTTCGCATTAAAATCTCAAAATATTCATTTTCTGTTAGACAATACTAACAAGGGAAGTAGAAGCTAATCTTATAATCCCCATTTCATAAATAGAAAAGTGGAGAAATTGAGAAGCTAAGATCCAGAAGTTCAAGTGGAGTGACACATAAATGCAATAGCAAGATGAGTACTGAGAGTGCACGATCCAACTCAAGATCTAGAACAATCCTAATACCACTGAATTCACCTATAGATAGTCCTAGAGCTAACTACTATCCTAAATTTTGTGTTTATTATTCCTTTGCTTTTTACAAAATAGTATTACTACATTTGCTTACATTTCTAAACAACACATTTCATGTTGGTTGTTTTTAAGCCCTGTAAACTAGTAATATACTGTGGCATTTTTCCCACTAATAGAACATAACCCCATTTTAACCAAACCATGCAGTTCAGAAAGTTCAAGCACATGAGACGCAGGGACAAATTACTTCCAGATTAGTGCAATGACTAGAACAAGCCTGAAAGCTAATTGGCTAGAATTCTGGTGTCTGGATGTTTGGTGCAAATCCATCCTTGTTCTGACTGTTCCTGGTGGTAGTTCCCTGCTTTACTGAATATCAGTGGGGACAGTTCTGCAGTCTGTGTCACCATTTGGAGGAGAGTCACTAAGTGGAGCCACTGGCCTGCCCTGGACTATGACTAGAGTGTTTTTGGGTCACTGAAATTGGAGATGGTTTTTGAGTGGCTGGCTTTAGTTCTGCTGATCAGTGTAGCCCCATTTATGCCTTCTCTGTCTCTTGATCAGCCTCAGTAGAGGTTTGTCGACTTTACTAGTCTTTTCAAAGAACTGACTTTCGCTTAATGAATTATCTCTATTTAAACATTGTGTTTTTATTTCACTTAGATTTTTTTTCCTTCTGCTTTCCTTGAATCTTTGTGCTTGTTCCCCCTAATTCCTTTAGTTGCTTAGCTCATTAACTTTCAGCCTATTTTCTTACATAAGCATCTAGAGCTATACATTTTCTTGAAGTACAAATTTTGGCCCATGACTCAAGTCTTGATTTGTAGTTTTATCAGCCAGGACAGCCTAAACATGCTGCAGTAATGAACAGCACCAAATTATCATTGAGTTAAAACAACAAAGCATTTCTAACAAGTCCCAGTTGCTGCAGCTGCTGGTTGGTTGACCACACTTTGAGTAGCCTGTTTTAAATTCATACTTTCCTCCTGACTAAATGGTACCTTAAGCTAGTGATAGCCATGAAATCAGCTATGTACCTTAAGCTATGAAATGTATGCATATCCTCTATCCCTGAAGTTACTTATTTTTATTATCTCTTCAGACACCTTCTGTGGGCTTATTTTGATGGTGTTAATCCTCCTTTCCAGGTAGAGAAATTAATGGGCAGAAAGAAGTTTCTTGCCGAGGCAGTAGCAGGATGCTCAGCTCCCGCGCTCTTATCCAGCTGTCTGGACCGCACCTGAGGACAGTTGAGAGAGCTCCTGCAGAATATCACTGCAGCAAGCCCTCACCACTTTTCTCTGACCTGCCTACCTTGAAAGGTAACCCCAAAATTAAAATTCTGTTGTATAGAATAAATCTCATAATACTTTCCATGTCTGCAGCTTAATTAAATGAGGTTCCTTCCATATAAATCAACATTGGAGCATCTTATAACCCTGTCCCACCACTGGTTGTGTCAGGTGTGGGCACCTGACTCAAGGCAACCCCGTGGAAAAGCTTCGTGCCACAGTGAGGGCTAACTAGATTACTCAGATTCTCGTCCCCACAAGCCCAGGTGTAATGGAGCTCTTGTGCTTCCCCTGACATATGACTCTGCATGTTTAAAATGCTGAAATTTCTACTGTAGTAGAAGAGACTCAAGAGAGCTTGTTTTCCAAACTTAGGCTCATAGGGACATACTGTTTGATTGTTCAAAAGACAGTGGTGTTCCAAGGATGAGAAGTGGGGGTGGGCTGTCTCTTGGCAGGGATGAGTGTTTTTAAATTGCCTGCTGGGTGATAATTAAAAAGCAAGCTTGTGGATCTTACCATTGTTTTCACATTTTTTATAAGCAAGGCATCCCTCCTCTTACCTGCCCTGGGGTGGAGCATGTTCAGCAGGTACCCTTGGTATGCCACTGACTTCCAGAGGCTGAGGGCTGGGCTGTGAGCAAGAGCTGGGCTCCTCTTCCCCGAGATGGTAATGGGAGGAGCGGCCCTTCCCACACAGCACTCAGGAGAAGCAGACCTGTGCTAATAATGGCTCGTGTGCATGTCTGGAGAGTAAGTGCTGTATGCTGTGGCCTTGGGAGCTAAAGTCCTCAAGGGAGTGGATGCATGATGTGTGAACAGCTGTGAGTGAACTAGCCAATGGAAATCCTAGCTGCTGCCCCCAGTGGACTGTGAGTACCAGAGGCTCTTTCCCAAGTGTATTGGACTTCCATAGAGTCCAGGATTCTTGACTCATTTCCCCAAAAGGATTAAGATTTTCCACCAATGCAGTGGGGGAAGGTGGTACTAGATTTGATTTAGTTAGAAAAATTAAGGAATGTGATGTTTCCTGTATCTGTGTGTTAAGAATCAAAATCATATCTATTAAGCTGCCTTGCTTATTTCTCTATTTATCTTATAGTAACCCCCATGGCTTGAGGAAATCTGTGTGACCCTTTATTCTTTGCAGATAAAAGGGCCAAACTGACTCAGAAACATGTATCAAAATGAGTCTCCCCCAAACAGCTATTTGCTGTTTCAGGTCGAAGGAAGGAATTACCCAGTTTCACACGGGAGTTAGTATCTCAGAAATGAATTACCATCCCTTCTTTCCTTCTGAAGGTATCCAGCAGGCTCCCATTCCTATGTGTGATGAGACATTCTGGCCAGTGCAGAGTGGAAACCTGATCCAAAGAAAGAACAAGCAGGTCCTCAGGAGAATGGTGGAAAATAAGGAAAACAAAAATAGTTTCTCCACAAATAAGGGCTATCTTGCATTCTTCCTCCTGAGAAAATGACTTGTTTGGAAAATCACACATTTTCCTATAGCCTATCTGGACCCTCTAGACAGCATATTACATTCCTCCTTCAGTGATACTCACATGTCTTGATGGTTGCAAGCCCAGCCTGTGTCCCCACAAGGAGACATCGATGCTTCTCTGACCTTGAAGTCACTACCAGGCTATTGCTGGGCTCTCAGAGTTCATTAACAGTGGGCTTCCAGAAGCCCCTCTTTGCCCAAATGTGGTGGACGGCTTTTTTTCCAACATAGCAGGGAAGTCAAAAAATATGTGTAGTATGATTCCTGAATGTTAGAATCCATTCAGGGCTCTAATAAGAAAGATTTCAATTCTCACTCCCATAATCAAATACTCTTCTTCATCCAGAGAATTAGGATTTGGCCACAGCAACTGTATCAATTCAGGAAGACACTTAGACAAGGCTAAGATATAGTCCATTTTCTGAATTCACTCATCTTCTTGGGGTACCTTTCTCTGGTCCCAGTATACCCTGCTTCCTTAGGACAATAAGAGAATCCACCCCCCCATTCTGGAATTAACCTTTTGAAACTCTTCCTTCCCTGAAAGCTATATTAAAATTAGCCTGGATTGACTTGCTCAGTGCTGGGACACATTTAATATTAGGCATTAATGGCTCCTTAATTTATTGCTGCATAGAACCAACCCAAAATTTAGCAACTTAATTAGCAATGTTGATATATTATTTTTTCCCAGTTTCTGTGCCTCAGTTATTTGGAAAGGGATAAGTAGGTAGTCCCCCCACTTGAGTCTCTTGCGCAGTTTTGTATTGTCCAGAGCTAGCATCATCTGAAGGCTTGACTGGGGCAGAAAAACTTGCTTGCAAGATGACTCATTCACATGCCCAGTTATTTGGTGCTGGCTGTTGGTTGGGCCCTTTATTTCCTCTCTGCAATGTTAGTTGAGAATTCTTACTGCATGACACCTGGCTTCTCCAGTGTGAGTCGTTCTAGAGAAAGGTGGGAGTTGCGATGCCTTTTGTGTTCTAGCTTTGGAAGTCACTGCCACTTTCAGTATATTCCATGGCTGGGGCACTGACAAAAGTCTGCCTGACTTCTGTGGGACAGAGCATCAGCACTACCTCCTGATGAGGCATGTCAAAGTAGGATGAGCGTGAGGGGTGGGATAAATATCATTGCAGCCATTTTTTGGAAAACATAGTCTGCCATAATGCTGATTAAAAACTTAATGAGTGTATCCCAAGGTTGTAATTGTTAGAAACTAGAGTTTCCTAAATTGCTGAGTATATACAGCCTTAACGCCAAAGTCTGAATATGTTATATTAGAAAGGAGGGGTTGTCCTTGCAATGTAATCTAGGACAGCAACCAGAAATGGTATATGAGAGATTCTAACATGAGTCAGGTTCAGCACCTGACTTGAGAGATCTTATGAGGTTGAAGAAAGGTAAAATACTAGCATTTATAATTTGAGAATGTTCTACTCTTCTCTCTTCCCTACATTTGGTTAAAATAAAGGGTTCCAAGATAGTGTTTGCTTAGGGAAGCTCTGACTTCATAGAACAGGTTATTTGGGATTTTAGGATGGGGCTGACAGGGTAGGGTTAGAGTGGAGAATGAAATGAGAAGAAAAAGCATTTAGGCTTACAATAGTGAGCTGATCTGTTTGACCAAAGTGAGTGAGAAGAAAGCACTTTGCCCTGGGATGAAGGAAGAGTCAGGAGTGCAGTTTGACAAGTCCTTATAGGTAACTGTTAGCTGTGAGGATAGGAGAAGAATAAAGATTTCATGTGTTGGACTGTACATTTACTATTCTTTAATATTCTCAATAAAGATGAGCAAAGAAGAGGTTCTCTTTAAATTAATTTTGCCTGCTGAATTGTGCTTTTGAATAGATTCATCCCAAAGACTGAAGCACTTGGGTGTCTGGGTTCAAGAACCCAGAAATTAAATGTGTGGTTGAAATTGTGATCTCTGAAGTTACACAGATCTTGGTATAAATCTTGGCTTATCAAGTACTAGCAAGGGGCTTCGGACAAATGATGTACCTTCTTTGGGCCTCAGTTTTATCCCCACTCAAATGAGGCAACACATACCTAAGTCTTATCCATTAAAATGCCAAGTCTTCTCAAACATTTTAAATTCTAAACTGATGCAGCCCTGCATCATATGACTTCCTATAGTTTGGCATCCAGGCAAAATCAGTGCTTTGAAAAATAGAGTAACTGAAACAGAATAATAAGAGGAGATGCTTAAAGTAGAGGTTCTCCAGCAAATCCAGGGCACAAGACACTTCATTTAAGACAATTAAAGCTTTTTAGCCCTTGCCATGGAAACTGGGTCATCCACCCAATTCCATGGCTTCTATTTGGTGTATCATTTTCATCAAGGAGGAAAATAAGTTGTAAAAGAATCAAGTAGAATTCTTTAAAAAAGAAAAACCTGAACTCTGATGTGTCCTGGTTAGATTTTAACTCTTCTTCAGAGATATTTAAAGTGAGAGAAGGTGGAAACTGTAGCAAAATATCAACTCTCCAAAGCTTAGGGTTTTATTTGGGAGAACAGAGATTTTCTTTCTTTTTTACTTAAGGCCTAGTTAGATGGATTTTTTCCCCCATTGTGCTATAAAAAGGAGGCCTTTTAATATGATTCATATACAATATAAAATTATTTTTAAAGAGTCTCCTTGTTTTCTATCATTTCCCTAACCTGTAGTGTTATACTTGAATCTAGAGTCTTGGGTTGTTGATGGTAGTAATGATAGCAATTGATTATGAAAAGCCCACAATATCTTGAAACCCCCTTTGACCCTCCTATACTTCAGTTATTTCTTCCCTCTCTTATTTACCCTCTGCTTTCTCTAGGCATCATCTCTGCCATTTTTTAAGCTAGTCACAATGCTTAGAATTTTTCATATATTCTCTCATTTAATTTTCGTGACAATTCTCTGAGTCTCATATTATTAACTCCAATTTGGAGGCAGGAAATATAAACCCAGCATGATTAATTAACCTGCCCAAGGTTCCACAGCTTGCAAGATGGCAGAGCTAGGATATTCTGATTCCACATTTATTCCATGTTATTTCTCCTATAACATGCAAAATACTTCATTTATTTTTCAGCTCAGTCACCAGCACTAGTAGTTGACTTTTTTCTTCCAAAATACACCTAGTAACACTTTATAAGAATTATCCAAAGTTGTAGGATACAGAATTAATACACAGAAATATGTTGTGTTATATATATTAACAACAAACTAGCAGAAAGAGAAATCAGGAAAGTGAGTCCATTTATAATTGTAGCAAAAATAATAAAATATCTAGGAATAAAGCTAACCAAAGAGGTGAAAGACCTATACTCTGAAAACTGTAAGACACTCATATGAGAAATTAAAGAAGACAGAAATAAATGGAAATCTATTCTTTCTATCCATAAATGGCCATCCTTCCCAAAGCAATTTACAGACTCAACATAATCCCTATCAAAATACCAATAGTATCTTTTAATGAAGTAGAACAAATACTCCTAAAATTCATATGGAACCACAAAAGATCCTGAATAGCCAATGCAATT